TTTTCCTTCAAATGTATTTTCCTCTTGGTTTTGATTTTGGATGGAAAGTGCTCATCGTCCTTCCATTCACACCCTCTTGAGTCTACTCTCTTGTTTTGTTACTTGCCCATTTAGTTTTATTGGTTACTGTGTGGATGTGGTTGTGCTGGCAAAGCCAACATTTCCTGACCAACACCTAACTGTCATTGAGAAGGTGGTGTTGTGTCGTCATCTTAATGCACTGCAGTCCATCTGGTGTCGCAGTACTCAGTGCTGTCAGCAAGGGGAGGGGTACAGGATTCTGACCAAGTTACAGTGAAGGATACAGTTCCAAAATAAGGTGGTGGATGGATTAGAGAGTGCCTTGCACGTGTTGGTGTTCCCCTGTGCCTGGAACCATTGCTCTTCCAGGTGGTAATGGTTGCAGATGACAATTATCAAAGGAGCCTTGGGAAAATGTGTTCGTGCATCTTCTAGAGGTTACACGCTTTACCACTGCCCACCAATGTGGGAGTGAGTGAATGGAAATGATGGTGATTAGGTTGTCAGTTTGGCTGCTCTGTCCTAGATATTGTCACGTTCCTTCAGTGTTGTTGGAGCTGCACTCATCCAAACAAGTGGGGAGTTTTGCATCATTTTCCTGACTTTTAGTTTGTTGGTGATTGACAGACTTTAGGGACTTAGGAAGTGAGATCCTCTGGTTTTGTAGCCTCTTACAAAGTCACAGTCAACTTAAGAATCATGGTGTCTGTTTTCTCTATGAAGGCTGTAAATAATGACTGGGTATCGTTGGAAGATGAGTTGTAATCTGCGTAAGTGACCATTTTCTAGAACAATTAATTGCAGTCTCAAAAATAAGTGGAACAGTATTGCTTCCAGCATTTAATAACAAAATGTGGTTTCTCAGTAATTTAACAAAAAGAATCTTCTGAGAATAAGTGCCCATAATATAATTACAATTCCTAACAATATTCCAAATCTAAATTATGAATTTTAAACAAGTACAGAATTATGAGGGTCACATCGGGTCAGGTTGAATGTGATATATCATGTGAGCTGATGATCTTCAATTATCAAGATGTGACACTAATGTTACAACCCGTAACGTGGGTCACATCACTCTGAAGAATTCAATGAACATTTTTTGTTCCCGTGCGTGATGTCTACATATGTTCACTATAGTCACAGGGGCTTGTGTGATGGGCTCAAGCTAAGCAATTTGGATATAATGTTACATGCATGACTCAGCAAGTCGTTGCCACATGTCTCTGGTTGGTAGAATGCATACCTCCTGTGAGAATTACACAAGAGAATGGGTAAACAGATTGAAAGATGGATTGGTAAACAAACAATGGGAAACATCTGAATAAATATTAGCAATGCTGTTTGTGGTAAAGATCCATCTGATTCACTAATGACCTTAAATGAATGAAGTCAGCCATCCTTACCTGATATGACCTACATGACCCACAGAACCCACAGAAATGTGATGCTCGATTCTAAACTATCATCTAGGCAATTACACATGGGCGATAAATGTCACTATCCGTTGACACCCACATTCCATGAATGAATAGAAAGTTCCATGTACAACAGCTCAATGTCAAAGTTCAGTCCACGCCTAACCAGTGAAATTCAGGTTAGTATTGTGATAAAAATTGAGATTTGCAATATTGCTATGAATCATGCAAAGATTGAAAAATGGGAGAGATTTCAGAAACCAGCAAAGTGGAAACAAAAGTCTTAGAAATGGCAGAATGTAAATCACATGAGCAATTTAATCAGGAGTGTAAGAACGGATTTTGAGATCTCTTCCAAACATATCAAATAGGAGAAGAGTAGATAAAGCAGACATTACTCTACTGAAGGCAGAGACATGATGAATGATGATGGACAATGTGACAATGGCGGAGACCATGGCTCAGTATTTCCTATCTGTCTTCAAGAAGACAAGTTATGTGTTGACCTTAATTGTACGTATATTGTGAATCAAAAATAAGGAAACCTTGGTATAATTGGGCAGGGGTTTAGTGAGAAATGTGCTGAGTTTTATTTAAAAATGGTTATGCTGCAGCTCTATGAAACCCTGGTTAGACCACACTTGGAATACTGTACAGCTTGTATACAATATTGTATATGTTCTGGTCGCCTCATTTTAGGAAAGATGTGGAAGCTTTAGAGAGGGTGCAGAGGAGATTTACCAGGATGCTGCCTGGAGTGCAGGGCAGGTTTTATGAGGAAAGGTTGAGGGAGCTAGGGCTTTTTTCATTGGAGCAAAGAAGGATGAGAGGTGACTTGATAGAGATATACAAGATGATGAGAGGTATAGATAGAGAGGATAGCCAGAGACTTTTTCTCAGGGCGGAAATGACTATTACGAGGGGGCATAATTTTAAGGTGATTGGAGGAAGGTATCGGGGAGATGTCAGAGGTAGGTTCTTTACACAGAGAGTGGTGGGCGTATGGAATGCACTGCCAGCAGTGGTAGTGGAGTCAGATACTTTAGAGACTTTTAAGCGACTCTTGGATAGGCACATGGAGGATAGTAAAATGTAGGGTATGCAGAGTAGATTGATCTTAGTAGGATAATAGGTGGGCTGAAGGGCCTATACTGTGCAGTACTGTTTTATGTTCTATATTCTATTCATATACTTGTCAAGATGCCCTTTAAAAGTCACTATAGTATCTGCTTCCACTACCTCCCCCAGCAACGAGTTCCAGGTACCCACCACCCTCTGTGTAAAAAAACTTGCCTCGTACATCATCTTTAAACCTTGCCCCTCGCACCTTAAATCCATGGCCCTAGTAACTGACTCTTCCACCCTGGGAAAAAGCTTCTGACTGTCCAGTCTGCCCAGTCTGTCCATGCCCTTCATAATCATGTAGACCTCTATCAGGTCGCTCCTCAACCTCTGTTGTTCCGGTGAGAACAACCCAAGTTTCTCCAACCTCTCCTCGTAGCTAATGCCCTCCATACCAGGCAACCTCCTGGTAAATCTTTTCTGTACCCTCACCAAAACCACCACATCCTTCTGGTAATGTGGCGACCAGAATTGAACACAATATTCCAAATGCGTCCTAACTAAGGTTCTATAACGCTGCAACATTACGCCAATTTTTAAACTCAGTACCTCAGCCGACGAAGACAAGCATGACATTTGCCTTGTTGACTACCTTCTCCACCTGCGTTGCCACTTTCAGTGACCTATGTACCTGTACACCCAGATCTCTCTGCCTATTAGTACTGCCATTTACTGTATATTTTCCATCGTGGACATTACCTCACATTTTTCTGGATGAAATTCTATCTGCCATCTCCCTGCCCAAGTCACCAACCAATCTAGATCCAACTGTATCCTTTGACGGTCCTCATCGCTATCCGCATTTCCACCAACCTTTGAGTCATCGGCAATCTTACTAATCAGACCAGTTACGTTCTCCTCCAAATCATTCATATCTCTTACAAACAGCAAAGGTCCCAACACTGATCCCTGAGGAACGCCACTAGTCACAGCCCTCTTTTCAGAAACACACCCTTCCACTGCTACCCTCTGTTTTCTATGACCGAGCCAGTTTTTTAATCTATCTTGCAAGCTCACATCTGATCCCATGCGACTTTACCTTCTGTATCAGCCTGCCATGAGGGATCTTGGCAAAGGCCTTACTGAAGTCAGAGACAGTAGAAACTGCAGATGCTGGAGAATCTGAGATAACAAGGTGTAGAGCTGGATGAAAACAGCAGGCCAAGCAGCATCAGAGGAGCAGGAAGAAGCGTCTTTTCTGAAGAAGGGTCTAGGCCCGAAACGTCAGCCTTCCTGCTCCTCTGATGCTGCTTGGCCTGCTGTGTTCATCCAGCTCTACACCTTGTTATCTCGCCTTACTGAAGTCCATGTGTGCAACTCTGGGCAATACACTATAGGAAAGATATGAACCCATTGGAGAAAGTATAGAAGAGTTGCAGAAGAGTTGTAGCAGGTTATGAAGAGATTTCCAGGCATGAGACACTTCAGTAATGGTGTAAAATTGGAGGAGTTGGAACTGATCTCTTTGAGGAAAACCCAACATTTTCAAATTGATGTGGGCCCTGGATAGAGTGGATAGAGAGAAACTGTTCCCACTTGTAAGTGGATCAAGAACCAGAGGACACAGTGTATCATAGAAACATAGAATCATAGAATCCCTACAGTGTGGAAATAGGCCATTTGGCCCAACAAGTCCACACCGCCCCTCCGAAGAGCAACCCGCCCAGAACCATTTCCCTACCCCTGCATTTCCCATGTCTAACATATGTATAAAAATGTTTTGTAAAAGAAGCAAATGTGAGGTGAGTAGAAACTTTTTCACTCAGTGAGTTGTGAGGGTATGGAAATGGGGTGGAAGCAGGTTAAATCCAGACATTGAAGATGGCATCGTATGATTAAAATGTGCAGAGTTACAGGGA